AAAGCATAGATACATTTGCCCATTGAATCCATAGACTTTTCTTTTTTTTTTTTTTTTTTTTTTTTTTTTCTGGTGAGATTTCATTTCTTGGATGTAGCAGGACAGTGTGAAATTAGAATAACAGTCTCAACCAAATCAAACCAAAGTGATACTCGTTAACAATTATATAGTACTTCTCTATCGGGTAATATTCTTAAGCTTTCACATATATTAACTTATTTTATCCTCATAATAGCACTATGAATTCAGTATTATTATCAGTATTCCCATTTACAAGGATGGGGAAACTGATCTCCACAGTGCTTAGGTGGCAAGTTCAAATCACAAGCCAAAATTTGTATGCTGGCAGTCTGGTTCCATTGTCCGTCCTCTTGCAGATGGGATTACATCCCCCGCTAGCAATCACACTTAGAATGGTTTTTTTTTTTTAACTTTTTTAATGTTCATTTATTTTTGAGAGAGAGAGACAGAGACAGAGTGTGAGCAGGGGAGGGACAGAGAGAGAGGGAGACACAGAATCCAAAACAAGCTATAGACTGAGCTGTCAGCACAGAGCCCAACACGGGGCTTGAACCCACGAACCGTGAGATCATTATCTGAACTGACTGAGCCACGCAGGTGCCCCTTAGAATGTTTTATTAGAATCTGTAATTGAAACCATGTTACAATACTCGGCATTTCTCTCTCCCTATAAATGACTCCCTCAAGTTGAATACTCTAAATTCACCATCTAAAAAACTCAGCCAAACAGCTTCAAAGAGCCAACCCTTGATTTTTGTGCCATTCTCTTGGTCCCCCTATAACTTTTCCAAATAGATGTTCTCTATATTTTTAAATGGTCCCTGCCCTCCACCCACATCTTAATTGTTGAGACTTCCCAAATTTCAATCTGCTCCTTTTTTTAAACTCTATAGTCTTCCTGCATTACCACATCAAGGCAAAGAGTATCCACAGTCATTTAGAACGTGCTGATGACTTCCAAAAAAAAAATTTTTTTTTCCTCCAGCCTTATGTCTTGTCCAAATTCCAACTGCCTCCTCAATACATTCATGCTGAAGTCCCCCTCAGGGACTTCAGACTTTACATTTTCAAAGCAGAATTCATTATTTCTGTGCATGCACATACATACGACAAGCACACACATGCGTGTTTGGAGTCGGACAGACGGAAGTCTAAACCATGATTCCGCACTGGCTATGCATATAGCTTTAGGCAAGTTAGATAACCTCTCCAAGCTTCAATTTTCTCAACTCTAAAACAAGGAAAATATCACCAACCTCACAGAATAATTGATGGGATTAAAATAGATGAAATACATAAACCACTTAGCCTATTGGGCCCAAAGAAAGTGCTCCTAATTAGTACAATTGTCTTCTTGTTGTCTGTATAATACCACTGTTAATACACCAGTTTTACTGTCTCATCAATGGCACCCCCGCCTCTGGTTTCCCAGACCAGAACCTTCCAGTTATTTTCAATAGCCTCCTTTCTTTTATTCATCTGAGGAGATCAGCCCAGTTCTCTGTCTTGAACCTGGCCCTTCTCTCCCTCACAATTTACATGTCTCACAATTGAACTAGCACAACAGTCTCCAAATGGCCCTCGCGGCAACATGTCCTGCCCCTAGCCCCGTTGACAGTCCTCATTACCCTGAGATCTTTATTCTGGGGGAGAAAAGCCCCTGCCGAGAATTTGTTCATTTATTCACTCAAACAAGTATATGCCACATCTTCCCACCATGATGAGCCAGACACAGCCGCCTTGATCTTACTTTCCAAGCCCCCTCGACCTACTCTAAACTTTTTGAGGGGAGGAAGCCCTGATGATAACGTCTGCTAATTCCAGTGGCAAATGCTACAACTGTCACCGTGGCAGATTTCAACTCACCAGGGTGATAGCCACTAGCACGCAAAATTCCCGACAATTGGATATTGTGCTCTATGATCCCATACAGGCTGGCGCAGTCACACCATTGCCTGTAACCAGCCTCTCTCCCTCAGACCCCAGGCTCCAGCAAGGTGGCCTCTGACCATTACCAGGACCAGTCAGGCTCTTCCATCATCCTGCACCTGCACGTATGTTCCTTCCTCTGCCAGTAATGATTTCCCTGTCGGGTCCCCTACACATACTTCTGGTATTTTACCTTTATTCTTTATGAGTCAATAAAAGTCCCCCTGGATGAGTTGCCTGACTCCACCAAGAAGTGTCCATCATTCACTCTCGCGTTTTCTTTAGCATTAGGGGATGGCACCCGCCACGTGGTATTCTCATTCATCTGCCTATGTATGTACATTCTTAGTTGTTTGTGAAGGCAGGGTGCCCAGCCTGGCACACAGCAGAGAGTTCAATGAATAGCTGATGAATGAATGATGGGAAAGATTAAATCCTAATACAACGGAGACTTTCTCATCAAGTCTACACAGTGTATTTTCAGTCTGATTCGGCCTTTCTCAAGGGTATGCCCCGACTAAACCATAAAATGAGGTAAAATGATAAAGATGACAGGGGCACCTGGGTGGCTCAGCTGGTTGAGTGTCCGACTTCAGCTCAGGTCATGATCTCGTGGTTTGTGGGTTCCAGCCCCGCATTGGGCTCTATGCTGACAGCTCAGAGCCTGGAGCCGGCTTCGAACTCCATGTCTCCCTGTCTCTCTGCCCCTCCCCCACTCATGCTCTATCTGTCTGTCTCTCTCTTTCTCTCCCTCTCTCTCAAAAATAAATAAACATTTCTAAAAAAATTTTTAATGATAAAGAAAATGAAATATGAAACATTCAGTATTTCAGAAAACATAAATATTATAATTGCCGGGCTGTCTAATAATGTAGAAAATCATTTTTGCTTACTTTTGGTTGCACTTAATAGTCCTGAATCTTATTTTATTTACTTATAGGATCTTTCTGGTTCAAAGTTTGAGCACAAGTATTCTGAGCCGTCCTGCTGCATGGCTCACTGCTGGGATAGAGATTAGTTATGAGTGGTACTTTCTCTAAACATCTCAATTTCTCCTGGAAACCTGAGTCCAAACCTTTCCTTTTTCGAAAGATACCCATGGCTGGATTTACCAAAAGTACAAATTTGTCAAAAGGGGTAAAATATCACCCATCATGTAAATTCACCACTGAACTTCAGTGATTCAGTTCATCGCTGAAATCCAGCGACTCCAAAAGAGCAGGCTTTGAAATAAACCCGAATTGCCATGACTTGCTCTGCCCACCCCACCTCTCTACTACAAAGACTCACTTAATAAACTACACCCCAGAGGAGAGATAAGGTGCAAATGATTACCTTGTCTATAGCTGTAAGTAGTTTGGATCTGTACGCACATCAGAGAAGGCTTAGCAGCTGAATGCCGAAAGCTTCCAAGGGGGACGAATGGGCACCGGCAGAAACACCACCACTTAGCCCTTTTCAGTGCTCCACGGTTGCCACAATGAGGTGGTTTAGCTTCTGTTATTGGTAGATAAATAAGTCAGTGCCAAAGTGACTCTGTTTTGCAACTTGGGTAAACTTGGGTGCTTTCAGATCCGTTAGAGTCAGTGAAAAAAAGTTCAGTTGTTTTCTGCCCTTTGGGTATATTTTTCACCTTGAGTCTATTTGTGTTTCCTTTTGCGACTTTCACACAAATTCAAGGTGTGTAATCTGGGCTTTATTTTTCCACAAACATCTACTGTCGTGGACGGTGCTGCTTACTCAACCTTTAAAACGTAATCAGCCCGTGTAATTAACTGTCCAAGGTTTCTCTGGAAGTGTCCCGATTTCTTCTGTGTAACTCGGCCATATCGTATGCTGTTATCTTTTCCAGCAGATTTTTACCACAAGTTGTTTAAAAACTATGATCTATTTAAGGATGGAAAAAATGAAGTGCCGTTGAAGACACAGTTATGCTGAAAGATAAACAGAGCAATATTACTTATCAGAATGGGTACAATTTTTGCTTGCTTAATGAGTACAATATATAGCTTTGCAATATATACACAATGAGAAAAAAAGCTTTATAACATATCAAGTATGCCACATTATTTCAGGCATAACTGTAGAGGATACGTATCTAGGCCTGAGAGTGTAGATAACAAAATATAAGTGCTTTGCCTGTCTAAACATGTTAAATAAATGAGCATACACTATCGCATTGCAATACATTAGAAGATGTACTTGCATAGTTAATTTTCTTTTTAATGCACCACACGTGATCATTTGAAGTGTGGAGCCAGAATATATCTTAGTATTTGAAGAAAGGGTTCTTTTCATTTAAACAAATCTTTATTTAAATAAGCCTTTTGAAAAGGATCTTTGGCATATCTCCTTTTCAGGAAGTTCAATCAGGGTAAACGGAGATAAAGAAGCCGCATTATAAGGAATATTATATAAGTAAAGATCACTAAGCCAAAAAAAAAAAAAAAAAAAAAAAAAAAAAAAAAAAAAAAAAAAAACAAATGGCAGCAGACATACGGAGAGTAAAACTAGCTGGAATGTCGTTTTAACTTTCTAGATTTTAGGAGCTTTTGTTTACTCTTTTTTTACAGTTTTAGGCATTTCGGTATTTTGGGAAGAGAGAGGGAGGGAGGGAGAGAGAAAGAAATAACTTCTGACTTCCATAAGGTACAAAAAGAGGGACTTCAAAGGCTCACCTGAAATAAATTTCTGTGGTTGGATCCCCACCATGCCTCCTCATAAGCGTGAGACCATGTAATAGCACGGTTAATGATTAAGGCAAGCCCCAGAAGGCAAACGGTTCACAAAACTCTCTACAGATTATGTCTGTTCTTGGCTCTTAGTCCTGTCCTACTGTCAGTCACTGAACAGTTCATGAAATGCAAGGAATACAATTTTCCACATAGGAGGGCACAGGAGCACAGCTATTGTCTCCATCGGACACTCCACCCCCCATAGAAAGGGATGTGAAAAACATGAGAAGATGCTATTGACATCAATCTAGTGTGCGGCGGGCTCGAGCATTCTGCGTCAATTCTATCTTTCTCTTTCTTTTCTCTTCTTAATAGGGGGTCAGCTTTGGTGCACAACCACGAAGGCCATCTCTGAGGGTGAAGAGCTAATTGCCTTTGTGGTGGATTTTGACTCAAGGCTACAAGCTGCCAGTCAGATGACTCTTGCAGAAGGGATGTACCCTGCACGCCTGCTGGACTCAATTCAGCTGCTTCCTCAGCAAGCTGCCATGGCTTCTATTTTGCCTACAGCTATTGTCAATAGTAAGTGCTGAGTGCAATAGCCCAGTACAATAGCTTTGTAGTGGTGATGGGTATTTATGGGACAAAAAAAAATGTCTACTGACAGGCAACCAGGGACAGACTTTTTTCTCCAGTGTTGTGATTTCATTTTATCTCTTCTCTAACTTTGCGCGCACGTGCACGCGCGTGTGTGTGTGTGTGTGTGTGTGTGTGTGTGTGGTCGCCTCTCATGAGAGTATGAAAAGAACACTTCTATTCATTCATTTCAGGTTGGATTCTCAAATGTCACACAAAAACTGACTTTCTGAACTAGCTGAACAACATTTAAGGCTACTTAGTTATGAGATATTGAAGAGCTTTCATGGATGCTTCTTTAATAGAATAATATAGTTATGCTTTAGGAGCCATAGAGTTAAAAACTTTCTAGAAAAAGAAAAAAATAATGGGGCATCTGGGTGGCTCAGTTGGTTAAGGGTCCAACGTCAGCTCAGGTCATGATCTCACAGTTCGTGGGTTCGAGCCCCACGTTGTGCTCTGTGGTGACAGCTCAGAGCCTAGAGCCTGTTTCAGATTCTGTGTCTCCCTCTGTTTCTGCCCCTCCCCAGCTCACACTCTGACTCTCTCTCTCTTTCCCTCTCTCTGTCACTCAAAAATAAATACACATTAAAAAAATTTACTTAGGGGCGCCTGGGTGGGCATGATGAGTTCATCGACTTCATGAATCCGCGATCTCGAATCCCATTGAGTTGGTTGGAAACTTGCTTGGCGATCAGGCTCTGCAGGCTACGATGGCTGACCGAACCTGGAGCCTGTTTCGATTCTGTGTCCCCTCTCTCTACCCCTCCCCGTTCATGTATGTCTCTCTGTCCCAAAAAATAAAATATCGCGTTGAAAAAAAAATTTAAAAAAAAAATTTACTTAAAGAAAAGGAAAAAATAAGAAACCAAAGTTTGATTAGATATAGTAAGAGGAAATATAGCTCAGTAAATCAAGACATCAGCTAATACAACAACAACAAAAAGAGACATAAAAAATAAAGAAAAATACATATAAACTGAGAATAATTTATGTGGAGAATTCAAAAATATGCTCTCGCAAATATGCCTTTGTGATTATTTTGTTAAAAAGACTAGTGAACTAAGTTTGTACTCCTTGAATACAAAGTGACACTGTATATAACAGAAAATCAGTGGTCCAATAGTCCAGGGTTTGAGTTCTAGACTCAGCTCTGCTTTCTTCTAGCTCTGTGAGAAAATCTGAATAGCAGTCACATCTTAAGAGAATAGATTGCAAAGCTAGTAGGTTTGGAAAACCTGAAAATCCCTAAGACTCTGAATGATGCAGAAATGCAGATATTGTAATGATGTCTTGATATTTAAAAAATAAATAAATAGGGGCACCTGGGTGGCTTAGTCAGTTAAGCTTCCGACTTCAGCTCAGGTCATGATCTCACAGTTCATGGGTTCGAGCCCCGCATCAGGCTCCGGAGGCTGGAGCCTGCTTCAGATTCTGTGTCTCCCCCTCTCTCTGCCCCTCTTCTGCTCATGCTATGACTCTCGCACTCTATGACTCTCTCAAAAATAAATAGACATTAAAAATTTTTTGGGCGCCTGGGTGGCGCAGTCGGTTAAGCGTCCGACTTCAGCCAGGTCACGATCTCGCGGTCCGTGAGTTCGAGCCCCGCGTCAGGCTCTGGGCTGATGGCTCAGAGCCTGGAGCCTGTTTCCGATTCTGTGTCTCCCTCTCTCTCTCTGCCCCTCCCCCGTTCATGCTCTGTCTCTCTCTGTCCCAAAAATAAATAAACGTTGAAAAAAAAAATTTTTTTTTTAAATTTTTTAAATAAATATAAAATAAATACATATTCAACAATAATTACATTCTTACTGTCCCGGTATCCTTGAAAGAAATTCTCAGGTGTATCTGGAATTACCCTACGTCCACACAGTGAATCCAGTACACCCAACCCCAGGTAATATTTTTGGGTCTCCTTTATGTAAATGTAGTTATTTTCTCTTACTGGATCTTTACGTGGATTCCGGTAGCGAGGAACCTGAAATAACATAGACCCAAACTGAATTTGTGGCAAAAGGAGTTTGGTTACCAAGGACACCAGGAGCACCGTATACTATTGTGAGGCTCCAATGGGTGAAGGTTATTTTTTAATTATCTTCCCTCTGAATCCTTCTCTGACCTTGTCCTTCCTCACCCACCTAGTGTCCCTCACCCAAAGCACTCCTCAGATGCCTCCAGCAGAATGGTCATTACAGCCTAATATAATTATCTGACCACTTGTTCATCAATCCCAGAAGAGTGTAAGATCCTTAATGACGGCTTTTTGGTGTTTCATTTTGCTTTACACCCAGCTCAGCATAGAGTCCAGCCTATAGTCGGCTTTCTATAATTAATTTATTAAATGAACAAATGCTGTCAGTAGTTGGCATCAGGCTAACTTTAGTTCAGCTCTTAGATCCTTGCCTTTTAGTCAGATAAGCCCATTCACATTGCTCTTTATACATGCATATTTTTCTAAACCATAAATACATTATGAGCAATTTAAAATGAATCTCCTGTGCTTTTAACGTGGGAGTCTCCCACGGTACCACTTTCCGAAGAGTCTGTGGGAAGGTAAATTGCACTGGGTGTAACATTTCTTTAAAAGCTTAGTCCTGCACTGTGGAACAGCACCCAGGACTGCACTCATCGCTGTCTGATTGCCTAATTCAGAACCTGAGAGCGGTCTCTGGGAAAAATGGAACTAAAATGCCGCTTTACCCGTGGTTGGTTCCAAATGGACAGCAGCTAATGTGTCCCTGTGTTTTCACCTGCAGAGGATATATTTCCTTGCAAGTCTTGTGGCATCTGGTATCGGAGTGAGCGGAATCTGCAAGCCCATTTGATGTACTATTGCAGTGGGAGGCAAAGAGAAGCCGCCCCAGTATCAGAAGAAAATGAAGACAGTGCTCCTCAGGTTTCCAGCCTGTGCCCCTTCCCACAGTGCACCAAGAGCTTTTCAAATGCCCGAGCCCTAGAAATGCACCTGAATTCACACAGCGGTACGTGCTTCCCTTGTTTCTTCTTTCGCTCCAGAAGACTTTATCCTTCTCTGCATATATACGTGCATTCATATATGCAAACATATAGAATTCTACACCTAACTGTGCCTGTGAAATCAAAATCAAACTTGACAGACCAGCTGATTGTTCTCTTATGTCACTTATCATCAGTATATTCTGCTCAAAGGATTTGGGTCCGAATTCTTTCCTAACAATTAGTGTATTCAGATTGCAGGCCAGATTTTGTCAACAGCATCATTTGCGAAATAGTCTCAATACCCTTTGTGTATTGTCATTAATATTCATTGATTTAAGTGTCAAGTGATCTTTGGAAACTGACCATACTGTTTCCCACATGGTAGGAAATACATAGTAGGTACATACAAATAAGTATTTGCTGAATTGAAGTAACACTGTTATTTTGATAGATCCAATTACAGCCACACTTGAGAGAAATTAACTTTTAAACACGAATCCATAAAATGCTCTTGACTTCTAGAGGTTGCGTAACAGCTTCGTCGATTTTTATGACATAAAACCACCTTCAGCACTATGTTTTTAAAATCCTTAAGAAAAATTAAGCTAAAAAAACAAATAGGTTTGTTTTGTTTTCTTTTGTTTCGTTTTAGCTCCCTCTTAACAGAAAGGTTGCAACTATCCCCATTTTCTTTTGGAGTTATATGCCCAATTATTGGTGGCATCATCACAGAGTATTCTAATTCTGTATTTTTTTTTTAAATTAAGTTAATCTAATGTACAGGATTATATTAACTTTAGATAGTTCTAGGAATATTTTTGAATAGGACAAACCAAGGTTTAGCCTTCAGAGTTCTTGAGCTTTTGTAATATAAAACTTATAAGGTACTTCTGGGTGACTTGACCGTTTTTGCTTGAGTTGAATAATTAAACTGAAATAGGTGCTGAGTTTAAAAAAAAAAAAAAAAAAAACCTAGCTCCAATGCTGTAGTACAGTGCAAGCTTTTGTCTTTGAACCTATAAAAATAGGCAATTTCCTTTCTAGTCATTCTCTTCCCCTTCCTACAAATGAGCTACCATTATGTAGGTGATAAAGCAGAGGAAGCAGAAACAGGTCAGTTGTCTCAGATGGTGAATAGTCAGTCATTCACAAAACAAAAATAGAGATAGAGGGATCTTTCAGCTAAATAGAATAATGAGTATTGGGTCAGTTAAGGAGAAAAGGAGACAGGAGTAAGAAGTCCTCTTTTATTGCTATACGACTGGGTTTCTTCTACCATATTTTTCAGCCAATAAATAGAAAAGGCAATTCTCATTTTAGTCTAAAGTGCAGAGGGCACGAGCCATGCCTGACTTGGCTATATGCCAACAAATGGGAACTAGAGTTGACCTTAGTGAGGAAAAGTGTCCAGATCTGAATTCAATACATGGGGGGGGGGGGGGGGGGGGGGGTGCGTTTTCCTCATAACCGCCAAACAATTCTCCAGATACCAAAGGCATGTCCTATGATTTAACTCAAATCTGACACTATCACCTGGAGCAGAGTCAGATTCTACAGATTAGGGGGGGTCAGCCCCCTGCCCCAACTTCAGATGCCAGTTGAAAGCCCAGGTTGTTACCTGTGCTTCGACCAACTGGCTATAAATCAGAGGTTGCTAAGATCCCTCTTTGGGTTCAAATAATTTGCTAGATTGGCTCACAGAACTCAGGAAATCCATTTACTCACAAGATTACTAGTTTATTATAAGAGGTAAAGACTTAGGAACAGTAAGATGTAAGAGATGCCTAGAGCAAGGTTTGCGGAAAGGGTGAGGAGCTTCCATACCATCTCCCAGCCTGTCATTCTCCTCAAACCAACTGGGAAGCTCTCTGAAACCAGTCCTTTTGGGTTTTTATGGAGGCTTCATTACCTAGGCATGACTGATGAAATCGTTGACTGCCGGCACTTGAACTCAATCTCCAGCCCCCTCCCCTCCCCTCCTTCCCCTCTGGAGAGGAGGAACTAAAAGTTCAAACCCACCAATTGCAAGGTTGGTTCCCCTGGCAACCAGCCTCACCCTTAGTTAACCTAGGGTTTTCCAAAAGTCACTACATTAACATAACAAAAATACCTTTATTCCTCTCATCACAGGAAAATTCCAAGGATTTAAGGAGCTGTGAGCCAGGAAGCCTGGTCAAAGACCTAATATAATATATATGAATGACCAAACACACATGACTTTATAAATCACAATATCACAGTAAGGCTTACTCACCAATCGTTGGTGATATTCAAAATATTTTATAACTGACTAGAAACAGGTGGTGATTGATCAACACGGATGTCAGTCCTAAATGACTTTATTAAGGTACTGGTGTCTACCAGCTGAATATCAGCCCTGGATAGAGATAAACCATGTTCAGCAAAATCCATGCATAAAAATCTAGAGTTGTACCAAAGATAAATTAGGAGGTTATTGATTACTTTGCAAAATGGTTCCTACTTGGATTCTTCTGAAATACCTAACCTGGTGCACTGGGAGTTATTTGATTTTCACCTAGTTTATCGATATCAACTCTAATGTCTACCTGCTTCTTCCTAGTGCAGGACCTAGTGTTGTAATGAGAAGGTTATTGGATTAGAAATTACAAAATCTCGGGTTTGGGCATGGCTCCATCATTGAATAGCTTTAGTACCATAATCAATTCCCTTGACTTCCTTGAATTTGTTCCCTGACCTGTACAATGCAGACAATGAAAGCTGTCCCACAGGATATGATAATATACTTGGCTGTGCTCTGGAAACCATGAGGTGCTATTACTCTGATGACCAACCTGACAAAAGACGTCGCGAGAAAAAAAAAAAAAAATAACAGTATCGCAAATGAGATTCTGAAAAATTTCAATTCGTTCCTGCAGTGTAAAGGTTCATATCATTAGAAAACCAATGCACATGGTTCTCAGTGTTCTTATTTTGTATGTCTCTCCAGGAGTGAAAATGGAAGAATTCCTCCCCCCTGGTGCTAGTCTAAAATGCACCGTCTGTAGCTACACCGCTGATTCCGTGATCGGCTTTCACCAACACCTGTTCTCCCATCTCACTCAAGCTGCCTTCCGATGCAATCACTGCCACTTCGGCTTCCAGACTCAGAGGGAGTTATTGCAGCACCAGGAGCTCCATGTCCCTGGAGGCAAACTTCCCAGAGAAGGTGATATGGAGCACTCTCCAAGTGGAACCGAAGACAGCTTACAGCCAGCCACAGACTTGTTGACCAGAAGCGAACTCCCGCAGAGCCAAAAGGCGATGCAGACTAAAGACGCGAGCTCTGACACAGAGCTGGACAAGTGTGAGAAAAAGACTCAGCTCTTTCTCACGAACCAGAGACCAGAGATACAGCCTACGGCAAATAAACAAAGCTTTTCTTACACAAAAATCAAGTCTGAGCCCTCCAGTCCAAGACTTGCCTCATCTCCGGTTCAGCCTAACGTTGGGCCTTCTTTCCCTGTGGGCCCTTTTCTGTCTCAGTTTGCTTTCCCCCAAGATATCACAATGGTCCCTCAAGCTTCAGAGATCTTAGCCAAGATGTCTGAACTGGTACATCGGCGACTGAGGCACGGAAGCAGTAGCTACCCTCCCGTGATTTACAGCCCTTTGATGCCCAAGGGGGCCACTTGTTTTGAGTGTAACATAACGTTCAATAATTTGGATAATTATCTAGTGCACAAAAAACATTACTGCAGCAGCCGATGGCAGCAGATGGCCAAGTCCCCAGAGTTCCCTGGCGTTTCAGAAAAGATGCCTGAGGCCGTGAGCCCCAACACTGGTCAAACCTCCATAAACCTTCTCAACCCAGCTGCTCATTCTGCTGATCCCGAGAACCCACTTCTTCAAACATCCTGCCTCAATTCTTCCACTGTTTTAGATTTAATTGGGCCAAATGGGAAGGGCCATGACAAGGACTTTTCCGCTCAAGCTAAGAAGCTCTCCACCTCTAACAGCAGTGATGATAAAATTAATGGAAAACCTGTTGATGTGAAAAATCCCAGTGTCCCCTTAGTGGATGGGGAAAGTGACCCAAATAAGACTACCTGCGAAGCTTGCAACATTACCTTCAGCCGGCATGAAACATACATGGTCCACAAACAGTATTACTGTGCCACACGCCACGACCCTCCCCTGAAGAGGTCCGCTTCCAACAAAGTGCCTGCCATGCAGAGAACCATGCGCACACGCAAGCGAAGGAAGATGTATGAGATGTGCCTACCTGAGCAGGAGCAAAGGCCTCCCCTGGTCCAACAGCGATTTCTTGACGTAGCCAACCTCAGCAATCCCTGTACCTCCACTCAAGAACCCACAGAAGGGCTAGGAGAGTGCTACCACCCGAGATGTGATATCTTCCCAGGAATTGTCTCAAAGCACTTGGAAACTTCTCTGACGATCAACAAATGTGTCCCAGTCTCCAAATGTGACACTACCCATTCCAGCGTTTCCTGCCTCGAGATGGACGTGCCCATAGATCTCAGCAAAAAGTGTTTATCCCAGTCTGAGCGGACGACCACGTCTCCCAAAAGGCTGCTGGACTACCATGAGTGCACTGTGTGCAAGATCAGCTTCAATAAAGTGGAGAACTACCTGGCCCACAAGCAGAATTTCTGCCCAGTCACGGCACATCAGCGTAACGACCCGGGCCAACTCGACAGCAAAGTATTTCCAAATCCAGAGAGCGAAAGAAACAGCCCCGATGTCAGCTATGAAAGAAGCATAATAAAATGTGAGAAAAATGGAAATCTGAAGCAGCCTTCCCCTAATGGAAACTTATTTTCATCCCACTTAGCAACCCTGCAAGGCCTGAAAGTCTTCAGTGAAGCGGCTCAGCTCATTGCTACAAAGGAAGAAAACAAACATTTGTTTCTTCCCCAATGCCTTTACCCCGGGGCAATAAAGAAGGCAAAAGGGGCTGACCAGCTTTCTCCATATTATGGCATAAAGCCAAGTGATTATATTTCTGGTTCTCTTGTCATCCACAACGCTGACGTGGAGCCGAGCACAAATGCCGAAAATGAATCCCCTAAAGGCCAGGCTTCCTCCAACGGGTGCGCCCCGACGAAGAAAGATCCCCTGCCGCTGTTACCCAAAAACAGAGGCATGGTAATAGTCAATGGTGGACTGAAGCAAGACGAGAGACCTGCCGCCAACCCACAGCAAGAGAACATTTCCCAGAATCCTCAGCATGAAGACGGCCACAAATCTCCCTCTTGGATCTCTGAGAACCCGTTAGCCACAAATGAGAATGTCTCCCCAGGGATTCCTTCCGCGGAGGAACAGTTGTCTAGTATAGCAAAAGGTGTGAATGGCTCCACCCAGGCTCCCACCAGCGGGAAATATTGCCGCCTGTGTGATATTCAGTTCAACAACCTCTCAAACTTTATAACTCACAAGAAGTTTTATTGCTCATCACATGCGGCGGAACATGTCAAATGAAATAACTTCATAAATAAACACCAGTCACCTTTGGTACCAGTGTTTAGTATGTGGTTCTACCCAGTCCAGAAAACAAAAACAAAACAAAACAAAACAAAAAACAAAACACAAAAGCTGTTTGAATTACATCTGGGCAATCAGGAGATAATTCATTAAGGCTGAGTTGAAGACTTAAGGTGTAATTTCATTACGGTCCATTAGTAAAGTGTATTATTGGTGCCATTTTCAAAAAAAAATTAATTTATTTTACCAGCAGTATTCATAGCTGTGGTTATGTTATTTTTTATTTAAAAACTTTATATTAAAGTCATTTGTAATGTTATTGTATAGTTATTGTGTAGCACATATGGTTTGCACAGTATAGTAGCTTTTAAAGAAAATAGTCACGAACAATACAGAAAAGCATTTTAGAAATAGCTTCAAAAGCACTTGTGGATCTTGATTTCTTCTTATATGCTGTTGCAGATATATGTATATGCTAAAATATAACTTGCAACGATGTTCTAAATACACATGCTATAAGTTCGCCTTAAGATTTCAATTCTTGGATAATCAGGCTCTGTTTGCACTTTATATTTTAGCAGATACAGTCTCTTAGTCACTAGGCTTTGCATTTGTATGTAGCTGTATGTTTCTGTCCATTTTCTTAATCTTAAACATGTATGTTAAATGAAGATGGCAATTTTTTTCTTGTATAGTACTTGTATTTTCTTTCGCTGATGCAGCTCTGTCTCAATTTTTAAACCTTTGCTGTTAAATGCAATACTTTATAAAGAATGAACAAAATTACTGGAAGCAGTATTGTAAGTAATGAGGTAGTGTTAATCAGTTTTATCTTTTGAAAGGCACAGTCTAAATCGAAACCCTAAACTCAATGCTGCAAGTATGAATTTAATTCATATATAAGATCTATTTAAATATAAGAGTAGCAATACTGCACCTGGTGATCACAAAGATAATGTTCTACTTCTGATAGAAATGATTTCTCAACAAATATTGTTACTATGCATGTATATGGATGGAATAAAATTCCAGATTGTTGGAGAAGTTTGGCAGACTTTTTTTTCTTTAAAATACAAAGGAAAGTCTATATATCTATTCTTTGTGGTGAGAACAGGTTCAAAATAGCACTGAATAGCTGAATGCTGAATATTATATATATATATATATATATATATACGTATTATATATATATATATATAATACGTATATATATACATATATATATATGGTGACAAATCAGTAAAGGAATAGATTGTCCATTATATGTTCCTAATTAATATGACACATATAACATCTCTCCCCCCACCACTGTAGCACAGAAAGAAAACAATTTCATAAAAGACTTGCAAAGCCTATGCACAAGAAGTGTAACAAACGTTGATGAAAAGCACCCAACTTTTAAATGAAGTTTACCAGAGAGAGAGAGAGAGAGGTTTGCCTGTCAAGGAGCCATGAAGTGGTATAGTCAAGCAATTCTGATGAGTAAAGACATACAAATTTCATGCAATTTGCACAAGACCCTAGATTTCACACATCTCACTTGTACTTTCCAAGGGTTTGCATACTGACGGGGAGGGGAGAACAGGGGATGTGAGTCAGATCATGAAGGACCTCATGGGGTATCCAGAGGTGTTGAGGTGTGACTCAGCAGGCAAGATGGGCACCTATTGCCAATCAAGACAAACCGCAGTCTACTTCAGTTTTAGAAACATCCAGATCAGTTACCTCACCTGTAGTTAAGATGCACTATTCGCAGGCAGGCTGTGATGCACTATTATTTGTCCATATCGGATTTGGTAACATAATGAACTTAAGGTGCCAGCCTGAACACGGCCTATAAATACTGTGACGAAACATAAAAACTACTGTGCTGTCCAGAACCATTCCTCCTATTGTTGTCTAGAATAACTATTTTTAAATGTAGAATCTTGACCTTAACTGATGTTTTTCATTTCAGTCCGTGACAAAGCAGAGAGGTAAACAGAACTGATCCGCTTAATAGAGTTTTTCAGGAATCTCGTGAAGCATCAGAACCCTGGGGACCCACAGACATGTTCATAAGGACCCATGCATTTCTCAGGTGGGAACTGGCAAGACTGGGTAGTCACAACAGGACTTGTCTCCCCAGTCTCTTCTTTTTCCTCTTCTCTAGGAAGGAAGGAACGAAGGAACGAAGGAAGGAAAGAGAGGGTGGGAGGGAGAGAGGGAGACAGACAAAAAGAAAAACAGAAAGAGAGAAAGACAGGAAGGAAGGGAGGGAGGGAGGGAGGAGGAAGAAGTCAGCATATCTTTGTTGACCATCTGGGATTGTACCCACTATTTGGGGGACGAAGGCAGAGGTAGAATCCATGATTGCTTCCCTGGAGGAATTTATACTCTGACTCAGTATAGAGCTTCTCAACCCTGTTCTTCCATTAGAATCACATAGGGAACATTTTTTAAATGCCAATGAATATGTGTTCTTGGTACATTGAGCTTTACATGAGATCAATTAAAGAAAACTTCTTATCTGGGAATCTCTATTTTTAAACATCTGTCCAGGTGGCTCTGATATGTGGCAATGTTGGGACACACTAAAGGGTCAACTAGGATGAGGTAAAAAGGACGAGTGAGACTGAGTAGAAAGATAAAAAGAAAAGGAAATCAATATGGGATGAAAGCACTGGGAAAGATTGTGAGGATAGGGTAAGGTCTAGAAAGGTGGGCACAGTGATGAGGAATGCCACCTGTCCTTCTGGTAGCCCTGAAATATTTTGCTGTATCCAGAAGAATATTTCTGATATTGTTCCAGTAGCCATTCACAGAAGGAAATTGATAGCAGAGGCTGAAATAGTGATGTTCAGACCACAGCGAAACCCTGGAGAGTATAGAGGAACAAAACAGTATTTCTCCATGTGGAGATCACTGTAAATAGTAGCATGGAAGTCGCATGTGATGATGAAGGGTGAGTAAAAAACTTTCCAAAAGAAGAAGGGTCAGACTGCAAAGTAGAAGTAAACAAGGGTATAGAGATCTGGTCTCCCAAGACCTTGAGTGCCAGGCTGAGGTTTATGGGTTTTCTTGTACCTTGCCTCTTAACGTAGAGTAATTGTGTATAGGAACAGTGACAGGGTGAAGCAGGAGGCCTAAATGCTAGAGGGGTATTTTCTAGAAGGCCATAACGATGGTCCAAATGGGGACTAGTGTGAGCCCACACGGAGTGAATGAAGAAGGACAAGTCTGTGTACAGCTTACATTATAACAGATCTTGGAGACCAAATTGAAGAGAAAGCCCAAGGTCTTCAACCCTGATTGCAGCACTCTGTGTTCAACGAGACAACATTGAGTCAGAATATTAGCACCAGTCGAATGGTCTAGGAAGGGTCGTAAAAAAGAATGAGAGTTTATACTGGTCTTCAGATTGTCCGTGGGATTTAAATCCTCTACAGAACACTAACATCTACTACATCAGAATATCTTAAGACGGCCATAGGTTTCTAGGGTTTTTTGGCAAAGCAACCCGAGAGTATTTTATATAATCCTCCACTGACCACAAATGAAAATCACTGAATTAAATATAGAGGGAAAAGGAGCGCCTGGCTCAGTCAGTTAAGCGTCCAGCTTCGGCCCAGGTCATGATCTCTCAGTCCATGGGTGCGAGCCCTGCATCGGGCTCTGTGCTGACAGCTCGGACCCTGGGGTCTGCTTCAGATTCCGTGTCTTTCTCCCTATCTTTCCTCCACTCATTCTCTCTGTCTCTCTCAAAAATAAACAAACATTTTAACATTTTAATAAATAAATAATAAATAAAGAGGGAATGGCAGCAAGTATTCTGCAGTCGACACCAAAATAAATTAAGCTGGTAGCAGAATTGAATTCTCAATTGGTCTTCAAAGTTGCTATCACGTATATGACACATTTTGGTGTTTAAAACCTATAATTTAAAAATAATTCAACACGTGTTTTAGTATTGAAATTAAAACTAAAAATTAAGTCATTATGGAATCTGTGAACAATATTTGAAAATCTTTTAATACGATGGAGCCCTCTCGTTTCCAGGCAGAATTAAGGGCAGAGACTTTAAGTGCCCGAAGTCGCAAAGCTAATGGGTGAGATCCAGAGACCTGAGCCTTGTTCTCAGATTACCTCTCCACCTCAAGTTCCTTTCTCCACTAAACCAGAAGGAAAAATACTAGGGCCTGTTAGCTAAAATTCCAGCTACTTTTTCTTGCTCTGATATATTTAAGTCTAGCCCAAACAATCTCTGGAGGTAGAGAAAAAGGAGCATATTGTTTTCTCATGACTACTGTAACAAATTACCACAAGCTTGGTGACTCGAAACAACAGAAGTTTATTTTGTTATGGCGCCCAGCCAAACTCTACAAATGTGTAGCAGCACAGCAGAAATTGTTACCCTGAAACTAGTAAGTCTCTTGGAACTTGATGGAGACATGAATGTTATTAACAAACATGGATGATAGCCATAAAGGATACAGCATCTAAACTATCACGTCTCAGCTGATGACTGTGGACCCAATCGTGAAGCAGAATGTTGTCTGATAACAACCCTGCACCAAGCGGTATATCTGTCTGGAACTTAGTAAATCTTAATTCAGAGAACCATAAAAAGCAGAGGCGGGCTGGGTAAAAGTTTACTTTGGCACTATCTAGAAAAAAGAGTTTGCTCAGTATATTAAAAGAATAAATAGGACTGAAGGAAAATAAACTTTTCAAGAACCTAGCAGCCCCATTTTGCAGGTAAGTAATATATTAATTTCAAATGATTTTTATCTTTATATTCAAGAAGAATGTCAGCACTTTTTGCTTCACTTCTTTGATCATTAATCCCACTTCCTACATATGACATAACTTGATTGCAGATGATGTAAATGTTTGAAATTCACTAAGTGCGGAACTTTTCTTTTCCTACCAGGATTCAATGACCCTCAGGAAAACAATCACGTAAATAAAATACAATGTTGTTATGTCTATGAAAAAAATATGCAATGATGAAATCA